AGATCCTCCGGTCCTTGGGCTCAGTTGGAATTGATGCTCCAATATTTGTCAAAGCGTCCTCAAACACCCCAAATCAAAAGCTGCAAACTAGATATGGACTCAAGTTCAGATATCATTGATCCGAGCTCTCACAATTTCAGGTGAATAATAAATCAGAAATTAAAATATCACAAATTTCAGATTTTTTGTGAGAAACAAGTCTCTGATTGGATGAGGAACCCAAAAACGAGAACAATTTTTATCAAAGATTGAGCGACAGTCGCGAAAAAAATGTAATTTTTCTGAAATTAGGCAAAACCTTGTTCAATTTATTTGACATCTCAAATCCATTAAATTTCATGTTTAGTGGGTAGATCATACAGGTGTGTACCAAAATGACGAGAAAAGCGGAGCGGATTTCCTTTGCCCTTTATATTTCAAACCAACGTCAAACTTGGGCAAGTTTTTGATGAACTATTCCCGTGGGCTCTCAACCTCGAAGCTCCTCAAAATGGTTGTTCTCCTACGCCCCTTCCTGCTTCCCTTTTTGCTCCCTCTCTTCCTTCATTCAACAAGTAATGAGCTCAATTGGTATCAATGTGGGCATGTTGTACAATGCAAGTGTAGAGAAGGCCATATCACTAGTTCCCTTGAGGTAACAACATGCAAAGCATACTCTTAGCCAAGGTTCAAAAAAATGGCTATGGATTGAACTCGTCCCCTGGCCTATGTAAGCTACCGAGTCTGAGTTGACTCGCTTGAGTTTCTCCCAAATTGCCCAAGAATCCTAAAAACTCTCGAAAATTTAAGAAAACTCTGTAAAACTAGAAAAATTGAAACCATTTGTAACAAATATAAAAGGAATAGAAATCGTGGAAAATGATATGAATTTGAATTGAATCAGTCAAAAATAAATCAACAATATGAATTTAAATAGGAAAAAAATTAAAATATACCCAAAATTTTGAGGCAGATCCTCCAATCTTTAGGCTAGGTCGGAATCGATGCCTCCAATATTTGTCAAAGCATCCTCAAACACCCCAAATCAAAACCTCCAAACTAGATATGGACTCAATTTCAGATCTCGTTGATCCGAGCTCTCACAATTTTGGGTGAATAATAAATCAGAAATTAAAATATCACAAATTTCAGATTTTTTGTTAGAAACAGGCCTCTGATTCCATGAGGAACCCAAAAAAAGGCTTATAGTACAACTTTTATCAAAGATTGAGCCACAGTCGTGCTGAAAATGTAATTTTCTGAAATTAGGCAAAACTCTGGTCAATTCATTTGATATATCATATCCATCAAATTTGATATTTTTTTGCTCAAAGCCAATCTGTCAAGTGGATAGATCATACAGGTGTGTTTTTGTACAAAAATGACGAGAAAAGTGGGGCGGATTTCCTTCCCCCTTTATATTTCAAACCATTGTCAAACTTGGGCAAGTATTATGAGTCTCTGACTCCACCTAAAACTCGAGCAAGTTTCGCAGTACTTGGGTGAGTTGCTAGTCTGACTCACCTGAGCACTGTGGTAGTATTGTACCCTCCTACTTGGCTGAGTTTTCCAAACACTGTTCTTGGCTATATATGGTCATTTAAGCTTGTTCAAGTACTGGGTAGCATATTTTCTAGAGAAGGTGAGGTTTGGACGTGTGAAAATTTGGGAGTAGCAAAGTTCCTGAGCATATGAAAGTTCTCTCCAGAATATTGGGCTTATGAAACTTTTGAAGAAAACTAATAACATATTTATGTTTCGTGAGGAACATGCCCTCTGCTGTGCTAGTGATTTTTATTCGTAAAAAATTTGATTGGACCAAGAATCTTTGTTTCACAAGTGCATTTAGTTCACCCTCGAATGTGATCAGTGAGCCATTTTTCGTTGATATTGGCCCTACATACTCGTAATGCTATGTTAACTAACAAGAAGTGAACCCCAAACAACAATAGCATTAAGATAACATTAATAAGCAGTGTTATATCCAATAATCTTAAAGAGCCGACCCCAATGAATTGGGAAAAGGCTATGATGATGATGATATCCAATAATCTTAAAGCACGAGATGGAGAAGAAAAATGGATAATTTTCTTATGGCACCATTTGGTTGTATCGCAGATCTGTCTGACTGAATGTATCCTTAAGGACTTTGGAAGGATCACGATAGGGAAAAAAAAACAAAAACTTTCTATCTTTTTTCTGGAATCAATAGTATATCAGAAACTGCCTTAGGTAACATTCTAGATTACATAAAGAAAAAGAAAAGAAACGTTGCAGCTAACAGAACAATGATTGCCATAAAGAGGGTTTCAAGTTGAATGTTCACAACTCTCTGCAGTTCCTTACAAGATAGTGCCAAATTCATGGAAAAAGCTCTCGTTCTCTTTCTATTTCTTTCCCACTGTGGACCTCTTCATTCCTCTCACTAGCAACCTTTGCTGAAAACATATCTCTCTCTCTCTCTCTTATCTTGTGAACTTCACTAGTAAGTTAAAGGAGGCATTACATACATGATTTTTATGATGGGGTTATTAGATTATGTAATTTGGACAATGAAAAAGTTGAAGGGGTTAAACGTCCTTTTTTGTTTATCTCGGGGGGTTCGATGGGCTTTTTATGGTACCAAGGGGTTTTTTGGGATAATAATTTTAGAGAGGGGGCTATACGTCTTTTTCCCCAAGTTAGTTTGAGCTAATGGTTATAGTCTACGCATTCTAACAAATGAGATATGATTTCACATTCAGGAGTTATTAGATGTTAAAGGCATAAAAGCCACTCATATGCATGGAGCTAGTTCTGAGATTTAAGAGGAATATTGTCAATCACGAAATTGCACAAAATATTTTTATTTTTAATTTCTGTATGTGATTTTCTTTTTGAAGAAAGTTTCTTCCTGTAATTACTTTCTGCAAAACTTCAGGTCTTAAGACTTGTAAATTTTCCATATTCACCCAACATTACATTTGATGAGTGAGACGTACTCCATTGCAGTAAGAGTTTCAATGCAACAAGGTGACCCAACAAAAAAAAATACATTGAAGCTCTATCGCAGTTTCGGTTTCAATTGTTGGAGAAATCATGCCTTGGCAGAGATTACGTTTCATGAGCGAGACAGACTCCATAGTAGTAGAGTTTCAAAGCACTATTGGAGATCCTATCAGATTTTTGGATACAATTATTGGAGAAACTACACCTTGGTGGAGAGGGAGGGAGAGAGAGAGGGAGCCCAATCCACTTAGTTTGAGATTGGATGTTTGATGCATTTGGTGCTTCAGTGTAGAGTTGGGTTTAAAAATTCAAATGTAAATCACTGAATTAGTGACAACCAAAAAGTGAATCGACTTATCTGAGGTTTTCAATTTTGTAAGGAACTTGGTGAGTATTCCAATTTTGGATAACATTCTTTCATGCCAACTAATGCCACCTACAGGATTTTTAGCTTGGAGCTGACGTAAATAGGGTAACACATACTGCCACAAAACCCACATGTTATATAGTATTGAACTTGAGTGTACACAATAAAAATGAGTTCAATTGTCTCAGATGAATTGTAAAAACTCGAAAGAAATTGGGATACTGGTTTGAGGGTTATGGCTTCTCTGTCCTTGGTTATGAACGAAAAGTATGAGTCACTTGTAGCCAGTGTATCCTATTGTCTAATTTCATTTTGTTACTATGTGATTATGCAGTTGGTGGTATGACCCATAGACTCTGTTTTGATGCTAATTCTTCTCTGCCGTGCAAGCAATTCATGTCTTGCAGTCTTTCTCATTAAGCAAATGATTTTACTTGCATGGCGATATGCATAATATTGTTCAACTTAGTTTCTCTCTGTGTATCATTATATACAATATGGTTTTCTGTATGCTTACATTTTATGTTCATTTCATGTTAGAATTGACGAGCATGTTTTATTATTCTCATGTTTGAATTTTTCTAATAGTTTCTCTCTCTTTCACCCTGTCATTTGCTTACTGCTATTCTTTTTCATTACTTGCTATCTTCTTTGTATCATTGCTACTTGCTATCTTCTTTGTATCATCGCTTTTCGGGGGGGTTCTGGTGGGATGATTCCAAATTTTGATCCAAAGAGAGAGAGAGAGAGAGTTCACTTTACCTCCATAGAGAGAGAGAGAGAGAGAGAGAGAGAGAGAGAGAGAGAGAGAGAGATCTA